TGATTTAACCAGTATTTAGCAAAAATGCTTAATCTGCCCTAACAAAGCATGGTGTAAGTATCAAGAGAACAAATATCAAGGCTTTAACAAGAAGTGTCAATATTGACACTGTTCTGTGTTGAGGGATATTGGTAGGTTGTTTTTATTATAGTAAGCAACTTGTCAGAGGAAAACTCAGATGGAGCTTTGCAAGTGCTGATAAAACCTGCAGGTGCTATTGAAATTGAGCTCTTGTTCGTGTGTGCTTTGAATGTAATTTCCAGTTTCAGAAGTCAGCTCTATGACTTTCTTGTAGCCCTCCTCCCTTTCAGACTCTCCCATGATGCAGATTAAACATTCTTCTCAAAAAAAGTAGTATTGAAGGATTGAACACCTCTTACACTTGCAAACAGATCTTTCAAGTCTGAGTTTGCTCCATGCCATAAAAATTGTCCGTCGCTGATCCCGGTGTCAGTATCAGGTTGGACACGTTACCCCTAGATTGTGCAGAAGCCATGGTATCTCCTGCTACCTTCTTGCAGTTCCACTTGTGCCCCGTGCCAGGTCATCTGCATTCCTTAGCTGATGCCTGTTGGCAGCAGAAGGTTGATTCCCTGCAGCAGATCAGGCCACATTCATGAGCTTGGATGCAATCTCTAGCTCAAGCGCCATCCATGCACTGCAGAATTGGAGGTGAATCCTACCATGAGGTAACAGCTTGGAGACTTGGCACCTTGAGGAGTTGCAGGATGTAGAAAGGCAAGTCGGGCTCCCCCTGGCATCCTGCGCACTTAGGACAAGTTATTTAATCTCACCGTGTTGAATCCTTAGTTGGAAGTAACACTCCCTTCTCCGTCTGGGTGTTGTGAGGGTACTTACATCAGTAGTGGTTGGGTGTTCAGGTATGGAAGAAGGTATCTGAGGCCTGGAATGGGTGTCTGTGCCCAGGCTGGGTGTTTTCACTGCTGGCTGTATGCCACTCACTGCTCAGTGTCTTCTGAAGACTGAAATGCATCACCTTGTACAGACCTTTTAGAAGTGACAGATTTGCCATGTTGAGTGGGAATCACAGGCTGGGTTGCATTTAGATTGTCCAGACGTGGACCTGACAGCCTTAATCTCAACATTAAAGGTTGCATGGCCTTTAGAGAAGATAGGGTCATGAAAGAACTGCAAAATTTTCCGGCCATAAACTTTGTTCTGCGCTTTGCAAAGGTCTGGCTATTCTGGGATTGCAGCACTTTTCATTTCACCGTCCTGCGGGACCCTTTCATGTTTTCTACCCAGTTGTCAACACATTTTATTGGGATACCTACGCTTTCCATGATTGCAGTCCATCAAAATAATGGCCAGGTCTGGCCTTGCCTTAGGTTGGGTAATCCCAAAGAGACATGGCTGCAGGGCATCTAAGGATTTACAAAATCACAAGCTTCATGGTATTTTTTTCTGGGTGTGCGCTTATATGTCGTGTGTTTGATTCATTCTTCTTTTTCTTGCTTTAAGCTAATCCTCAAAACGCCTTAAAGCAGAATATTTCCAAATGAAGAGAGGGTTTGTAAGGCTTAGGACAAAACAGGTCACCTGCAGATATCAGCATTCCCTGAACTTGACTCCGTTTTTAATGGATGTGTCTGTAATCGTGTTTCAGTTCTGTGCCATGGTGGCCATGTGGGAATTGTCCACTTGGAGCAGTAGAAACTCTTGGTCCTTTGGTACAAGGCTTTAGTGGGGGAAGGACCCACAGGCTATGGAGTCGCTTTGGTTTGTGGTGGCCAAACATTCATTTAGGGTGACCAGAGTTGTTCAGGGAATGGAGTTGCTTTTTGCTGAAGGTCTTCCTTGGGTGGAGAGGTGGCGTGAGCCATGGCAACTACAGCTAAAAGCATGGCATTTATCATATGGAGACTTATCCAAATAAGCCTGAACTGGGATCTGAGTGTGGAGCAGGCATGGGTCTGGCCTTCCTCTGCAGAACGAATATTGTTTACTCTCAGTTACATCCTAGACGCGTAAGAAACCATTTATTTTTAGGTCATGTTTCCCAAACTAGTGGTGGAGAGGGAGGGTAACTCCGTTGCGTGGCATCCCAGCAAGTAGCCCCCCAGGAGGTTGCTTTTCCTAAACAGGGTTTCCGTGGTTAGAAAATGCTGCTTATGGGTTGCCTTGTACATCCCTCGGTTAGAGTCCTATGGCTGAAGCCCTAGCCAGAGGAGACCTGGGGCAGTCCCAGCTTGGCTCTTGACTTCGCCATGAACTGCTGTTGTGAGCCTGGGCAAACCTGACCTCTCTGTTCCCCACCTCACACTAGCAAAGGAGAATAACCCTCCACACCATGCTGAAACTCAGATTGATGAGCTGCTTAGCTCCCAAGGAGGCAAATGCATCACCTAAAGCAAATCCACCGTCTCCTGGGATCTGTTTCTGATTTTGCTTGAACGTACTTGGGCTTTTAATTTTGCTTCAGGACCAGGCCATGGGGAGGCCGAGACAAGGGAATGCATTTACTACAACGCCAACTGGGAATTGGAGAAGACCAACCAGAGCGGTGTGGAGCGCTGCGAGGGGGAGAAAGACAAGCGTCTCCACTGCTACGCCTCCTGGAGAAACAACTCGGGCTCCATCGAGCTGGTGAAGAAAGGCTGCTGGTTAGACGACTTCAACTGTTATGACAGGTAACAGCCTTACGTTTTTTTCTGAATGGAGGTTTAATTGTTCCTCTAAGTGCAAAGGCTCGTGATTTTTGCATTGAGGAAAAGAAAGTCCAAGTCAATTGGCCCATTCATCCCCTGTAATTACTTCTATTGCTAATGCAGCGCTCAGAATTGTCACTTATTTGCCTTGACTTTCTAAATAGAAGCTGCAAAAGGCACTTTTAGTTGTTGTAGTTTTTTTGTTGTGTGTGGTTTTTTTTCCTTAGCAAAGCTTTGATAATTCTGGCATGCAGTGAAAAACGTGTCCTGTACCATCAAATGAAGAGCAATGTGTTCTTCCAAGAGCATTTGGCGATACAAAGAAAAACTTGGAATCATTTGGAGCTCTCTAGAAAAGCTCAGATATCTGGGGGTGGTTAGAGGTTGAGATATTCTGGCGTTGGTGATGTTGCAAAAAGTTTCGCTGTTCTTCATCTGAGTTAAGAGACGGGCCAGGAGAAAGAGTGGGGCAACAAAAGCAGTACGCGTGTTTGTGTGTCGCTGCCTGTAGCGAGCTGAAAAGGAGAGAGGTTTTTGTAGTACGAAGGTTCCAGCCTCATTAAATAGCTGGGAAAATAAACTAGTCTTTCTCATTCCCCTTGATGCAGTTCTGCAGAGGGGAAAATAATTTCAGCTAAAGAAAACAGCCCTCAGAAGTTACACCATTTAAAAGGACTATGCTCAGTACCTCTGGAGTCAGTGTTTCTGTTTAAAAAAAACCCCCAATGACCAACCAACACAAACCCAATCCTTCGTAATTAATAAGGACATCAGACATAAAATTCAGGGATTTCCCTTGGTATAACACCAATATAGGTTATTCTCACCTTTATGCAATTTCCAGCTGAGCATCTTTGTGCCTTCTGATTCTGAAAGTTTTAGGATGTCGGGTCCTAAGCCATGGGGCTTAAGCTGGGACTAGATTTGTCCCATGGCTGGAGAGCTTTCTCCCTTTGGCACTGCAAACTATCCCTGCTTTTGTGCCCACTGGCTTAGTTTATCCTGACTGTGGGTCGTTCCTCATCTTCCTTCTATTATTAGCACTCGGGTTACTTTCCCACCGTACCTATTCCCTTGCCAGATGCACAGCCAAGCTCTATATATAGTTAAATTTTTATTCTTTCCCGATAAATCAATCCTCCTTGGCCCATTAGTCATCTTAATGCCGATCCTTCTGAGAACAGAAGGTCACTCTAGTTTCCTACTTCCAAGCAGAAGTGTTTACTGTAAACAGATTTCTCCTTTCAGTGCCTGCTCTCGTGTACAGTGACACTTGTATTGTCACTGAGTGTCTCTGTGCAGGGATGTAGTGGTTCTTAAACTTTGTCATAATGTGTTGCTCTGTTACAACAGTAAAAAGTTTCCAGGGTTCCTCACAAGCCTTTTTGCAGCCCCAGGGTTGAGCATCCATTATCCTGCAGCCTGATTCTTCAAAGCCGCAGTTCCAGGGCAAAGCTGAAAGATCTTCTAAGAATTAACAAACAGTACAAGTGTTGAAAGCAACATTTGAAATAAAGGTTAGCTTTAATTAAATAAAGGCTGTTTAAATGGAGTCTGGGTTTTTTTCTCTCTTCCTTTGAGTGCCCTCAGCAGTCTTTCACGCAGGTAGTGTTGCATCCCATGATGGCAAAAGGGTCTAAAAAGATGATTTTTCGATCGACAGTGCTGTGCTTATGCCCTTTATGTCTCTCTTCACCACCTTTGGATGCTGAGCTCCTGGGTGCAGCCTCGTGAGATGCACCTGTACCTGGATGCAGGGCACAATCCTGCTCTGCCAGGCTGCAGCTCCTCTGGAGCACAGGCAGCACATGCTGGTATGTGCCAAGCGCTGCCTCCTTCTAGCTGGAAAGTGAAAAATTCAGGAGTGCAAGGGTTGGGATGTTTAGGGTGATGGCTCCTTCCTCTGTTCTTTATCTTAAGGAAACAGGAACATGGCACATTTACATTTAAGGCTGTAGGAAAAAGGTAGTGTTTAAACATTGACTTGCGTGCTCTTAGTTTATTTACACAGTCCCACCGCAGAGGTCGTGTTCACCTTCCCTTGAAGGGCACGTGACCCTCCACGAAACGTGCCTTCGCTGCCATAGAAAAATGTGTCATTCTCTCCCACTGTCTCATCTGTACTATTTGCTAAGTATAACATGTCGTATGTACCTGGATGGCTGCCCTGAGCGCACACCAACTCAAAGACAGGGATAATGAATTGCAGATGTGGAGCAGGCTGTTTTCGCTCATTAGCTTGATTTCTTAACCAACAGATTTAGCAAAGGATGTGTTTTCTATTGAAGACTCCAATACTGATGCTGTTAAATCCAAACGGCTTGTTATCCGATTTCACGAGAAAGCGTTTGGAAACATTGCTTAACTTGTTGAAGCATCTTTGTTCATTTGAGTAAGTCAAATAGCTGGTTTTTTTATTTGAAGTTTAAAAACGAAAAGCCTCAAAAACAAACCAAGTGCTTCCCAGCTGAGACCTTGCATGAGACATTTCAGCTAAAGCCACTTTTTCCCCCCTCCCCCCCCAAAAAAAGGAATAAAGCACCAAAAACTACCCTGTGCTGCGATTGAAGGGAGTCCTTTCCGTTCTTCTCGTGGCAGCACGTCCGTGATACCACAGAAAGGAAGGCTTGGCATGGGTTCATAAATGAGTAATAATGTCAAACACATATGATTGTTTTGCTACTTCCTCCGAGTGGTCGAAGGAAGGAAGTTATGCATATAATTTAGCTGGGCTTCAGGAAATAGTTTGATACAGTTCTCTGCGGAGAGCAGCTCTGCAACCCTAATAACTACAAGCAGAGGCTAACATAGCCAAAGGTGGCAGGGAAGGGAAGCAGGCGTTTAAGGAAGAGAAAGAAATGACTGCTAGAGCACTGCAAAAATCACTGCACGTCTCTTTCGGCATTGATCTGCGGGAGAGGGAGGATGTGTGGAAGTGGAGTTGGTCTGATCCATGGAAGTCCCCTAACACCTTGCACAGTGTGGAAGGAAACCTCAGTGGTGAGAAGGCTGTAGCGCTACCTGGATAACAGGCAAATACAAAAAACGAGAGCTGCAAGCTGATTTTCGTAAAAGCTTTTGTGCAGGATTAAGGGTTTTTTTTAAAGGAGATGGCACTTGAAAATTAAACCTTTTTACAAAAAAACTCCAACCCAAAACCTGCAGCCCCCCTCCTGCCTGCAGCAGGACTGATGTTGCTGCTGGTGTCTGGTGCCCTTCTAGCGCCTAAACTTAGTGATGTTAAAGGCTGGGAGAGCAATCCTGGTTCAGCCCTCGTCATACGTCCTTTATGGCACAACCTTAAATTGCCTGATCAAATACTCCCCTTCCCTGACAGCATACATACGGGCTGTGGGAAGGTCACTGTTCAGGGAACGAAGCCTCTCTCCATCGTTTTTCTGCTTCTCAGTCAGTTAGCAGCAGCGGCTGTTATTTATTACTCGCCATCTAATGCCTTTGGTACATATGGAAGCATTTGTTTCCTGTACGGTCTTTTCAAGGGTCTTTGCAATCCACGGAGTGTTTGAGTGCCAAGTTGTTTTCTGTAAGTGGAGCCTGCCAATCTGTGCAATGCAGCAGCAGGAGAAGGCATGTGGAGAAGACAATTTGGAGCAGGTCAGCTCCCAAAGACAAGAGGCAGGAGTTGGCTGACGTTGTTTTTTCTCTTCCTTCCGTTGCCACATCTGTCCCTCCCTGGTGCAGGCAGGAGTGTGTAGCCACAGAAGAAAACCCTCAAGTGTTTTTCTGCTGCTGCGAGGGCAACTATTGCAATGAGAAGTTTACCCATTTGCCCGAAGTCACCGGTCCAGAAGGTGAGTGACTGGTGTGGATGGTGAGGAAGGGATCTTCCTCTAGACCCAGTTTGCGATGACTTTGGGCTGCTGAATGTTAAGCAAAAAAATAGATCCAACAGGACACAAAGCACCATTTTGATTGCAAAGTCCAGAAATCTTTTTGCTGGAGTTCTTTAAGAGTAGTTTTTAATTGTTGTCCAATTCTACGGGCAAAGTGTGCTGTACTAACACCTCAGGCGTGATCACTAAGGATTAGGTATTCTTTGTGGTGGACCTTCACAGTGGGATCTCACAAAACGAAGTCCCACACAAGGGGAAGAGGGCAGAGTGATTTATACAGCATGGATCAAGACTCAAACTCTTAAAAGGTATTTGACACCTTCTTCGTTAATTTTCATAGGTCTCCAAATACCTTGAGCATCTGGGATTTTTGCATTTGATTGCTATTTTGTTGGTCTGGGGATTGAAAGGGAATGGGGGTGTGTGTCAGCTTTCAGAGTTTGTGGGCATACTTCAAGGAAGAAAAGTAATAGCAAGTCCTTCTGCAGAGGCTAATAGAAAAATGATGATTGTTTTACCTGTAGGCTTGCTGAAGTATCACTCAACAAAAATTATTAAAGCAGGTGGATCTTCTCCTTAGGATGGTTTCTTTCACTATCAACAACCTGCATTTACTGAAATGTTCCAGTAGACCATTATCAGATTTTCCTGGGCTTTCCTGTTAGGTTTTTAATTGTTTACATGGGTTTTATTATCTCCTGTTATTAATGTACCCGTAGCAACCTAGTAGCAAATAATTCTTTCTCTCACAGTTTTTTGTTTAATTTGGCAAGTCTTGCTATTTTTTCCTTCCCTGTCTCCAACATAGCAACATGGCTCCATTTAGTATTCCCATTGTTTGTGTCTCAACTGCACTGATGTAATTTGGAACAAGAACTACTGTGGGAATAGTGCATTTGATTGTGGCTCCGGCAGCATTATACTAAAAACTGACATCTTGTCAATCAGTGTGCAAGGCAAAGCAATGCTGCGAGGGATTTCGTGCTCGCTTAATACATTTAGAAGGGTTAAGAGGAGGAAATTTTCTGCTTTTATGTATCCCGGCAAGAAATTCCCATCTTAAGTAAAGGTCAGATAGAGGCTCAGCTTGCAAAGTGTGGTTTGGACCATTGTAACTCCATTAGTAATAGACATAGGGAAAAGAGGAAACCGTGGAACCTCATGAATACTGTTGGATGTGATGGGACATGCCACTAAGCACTGTCAGCTTTGGAGTGGAAGGAAGGATGGGGTTTGATTGCGTCTGGACTTGTCGCTGACAGTGCTGTTGCATGCCTGAAGGATCCTTTCCATCATTGATCCTGCTCTTTTTCCGCAGTCATATATGAGCCGCCGCCACCAACGCCCTCCCTGCTCAACATCCTGGTGTACTCGCTGCTCCCCATTGCTGTCCTCTCCATGGCCATCCTCTTGGCCTTCTGGATGTATCGTCACCGCAAGCCTCCCTACGGGCACGTTGACATTAATGAGGTGAGGGAGAAACCATGAGGTTTTTCGAGTCACTCCCCTGGTTTTGGATCATACAAAAGGCCTGGAGGCTGCTCAGGAGGTGTTCACACGCACTTTTGCCTCCCTCTTTTCAGGTGGCCTAACTTGTCTTCTCTGTCTTTTTGAAGTTGGTGGTACAGTTGGCCTCCATGGCAGTATTAGCATCCCCTGTGAGCCTGATGGGTTTAGACAGGGTCATGACCACATCCAGGGTTCCTAAGGGATGGAGTTCCACAGCCCAGCTTGGTGGCTATCCTTCCCCCCAAACACTCAAACCCCAGCCTTCCAGAGGAGCAGAGATCAAAGAGATGATCAAGTTCCTACCAGCTTTATGGAGCGAGGGGAGTTGCTTTCCCTGTTGAAGCTCAGTTTTTACGAGCCATCAGAGAAGACATGCAGAAGGTCATCCTCACGGCCCAAAGCCATCAGAAACTGGTCCTTGCTGGCTCTGCTGTGCCTTCAGGTTTCTTTGGAAGGGGCGAGCAGCTACCTCTCCCTCCCTTCTCTGCCCATTACAGCCCATATTGTGAACCTTTCCCATCTGAAAACAGATAGGACAGAGCTCCCACCCCACGTGTCCTGCGGAGTTGCGTTGTTCTCCTGGATGAACACTGAGTTTAAACAGATACGATCTTTATGATGCTGACAGACCTGTTTACTGCCCATTGCTAGGGTTATGTGAAACACGCCTAATGAAGTGCAAAGCAGTGGGAGGTTTTAGGTGCAGTTTGCTGTTGGGTTACAAAGATCAAGAAGTTCCTACTTTTGGAAGGAGGTAGCCTTGAGGTCACCGATGTTTTATAGCCTAAAATAGCTTTTGCTTTGAAAACATAGAAGAATTCAGGTTTTGCCAGAGGATGGCAGGCAATAGTTTAATGCAAAAAAGTGACTCTTGGGGACGTAGATTGTTATATATATTCTTTACATATACCCTGCAAAGCAAGATAAGGAATATTGGGCTGCTGTTGATGCAAACAGTACATCTAAATAATTAGTATTAAATAAAATGTTACTTCTTTACACCTCTTTCCTCACATGCAGTCTCTCCATCCCTCCCTTCCCTATGTTTTACATTCGTGCTTCAGCTTGTGACAATGTTTTTCTCTCGTGCAGGACCCCGGCCCACCACCCCCTTCTCCCCTCGTTGGCCTAAAGCCTCTGCAGCTCTTGGAGATCAAGGCGAGGGGACGCTTTGGCTGTGTGTGGAAGGCTCAGCTGATGAATGACTACGTAGCAGTGAAAATCTTCCCTATTCAGGTGAGAATGGCATTGCATTAGGTTCTCACTCGTCAGGCTTCCTCACCAGTGCTGAGATGCTCTAAGTGCCTGTGGAGGTGTTTGTAAGACCATAACAAAGATGCATTTGGACTCGTCTGCTGGGGAAAGAAGTACAAAGACCATCCCTTCCTACATTTTTCTCTGTGTTACCTCATTACCAAATGCTTCCTGTAGTAGCAGTTGTTGCAGGAAGGGCAAAGACAAGCACGTTTTGAAATCTACAGGGTATTTTAACTTGGCTGCAAATGTCCGTGTTGTTAAAGTTCAGTGAGGCAGCATGCAGCTGCAGTGCCCAAAGTACACACAAAGGACCAAAGCCCTGGCTTTGTGTGTCCTGCCTGGGCAGATTATAAATCCAGACCCGAACCCAACAAACAGTTTACAGAGGCACAGCCCCGCGCTGTGAAAGCTAATTGCACTGCAGCCTTTCTCTCAGCTCACGTCTTCTGCTCGAGGAAACCTTTGAACGCTCCTGACTTGACTCTCTAGGAACTGCAGATGGAAAGAGAAAAGCAATCAAAAGTCAAATGACAGAGGAATGACTGAAAACATTTTCGTGCTTCTCCGCTATCTCCTTTGTTAATTTTTTGCTCCGTATTTGTTGTCACAGTGTTGCTAAAGGAGATTTGCACATCTTCTGTCCAAGCCAGCTGTGACCCACTAGTAAATATTCAATAGAGCCTAGATTAGATTTTTGCAGTCGTAACAATTACAGCCACGATGCAGATCTGGGTGCTGTGTGCACAGGCTTTATCCTTGCAAGCATCCTTAGGAAATCTTGAAAAATCTTTATTTCTCAGCGAGGTTGGGTTTGGATTCCTCCCCCCTGTGTGCTTTAGGAATATCTGAGGATAGTTTTGGAGAAGGGAGACTGAGAACGGCAACTTCCAGTCTTTCTTCAGCATGTACCCTTTAGAAAAACAGCCTCATTTTGAAGGGATACATCACATCCGAATGCCGGAGGATGATATTAAGAGGAGCGTGAGCAGCTCTGACTGAGCTGAAGGAGCTGTTTGCTTTAAAGGGAAGCGTGATCTTTGATGGTACATTTCTCTCTGCTTTAGGATAAGCAATCTTGGCAGAGCGAGAGGGAGATTTTCAATACTCCTGGCATGAAGCATGAAAACCTTTTGCAATTTATCGCAGCAGAAAAAAGAGGGACAAACCTAGAGACAGAGCTCTGGCTGATCACAGCTTTCCACGACAAGGTAATGTATCATTGCACGTACGTTTTGAGAAAACAGAGAGGCAGCTGGTTGTGAAGCAGCAGGATTTGGTGCCTAATATTCTCCCAGAAGCTGTCCTGTAATCTATCCAGTCTGTCCCTGGTGAGCCATGGCTCAGTGGTAGTGGAGAACTGCTCCTGCTCCCGCTCATTCTAAGGCTCTTCCTTTAGCTTTCAAAGCTTTCCTGCACAAACACAGGATTAATAAAGGTGGGACTTGGGGAGAGAGAGAGGCACAAAAGGCCACAGCGCACGTGTATGGTGGTCACCATCTCTTAATGTGCGTAGGTGAGCGTGTAGGAGTCAGGCGTCGCAGACCATCACAGTCCCAACTCACCCCTTGAAAATGGGCTCTGTGTTTGCTTTTGAAGCTTGGGGTATATCTCCTGTTTCATGGATTGCTTTGGTTATCAAACATGACTAACACTTAAAATAAAACAAACACACGCAAATCCAGGCTTGAGCCAGCAGCGTTATCCCTCCGTTTAATCCAAGGTCTCCTGAGTCAATCATTGCCACAACCAGCTGATACGATGCATCATCTTCTTGCATGGAAGGCTTTCCCCTTTCTTAGGTTAGATGAATTGCTCTGTTTTGAGATGATTTTGTCCCTTCCATACCTCCCTCCCCTTTCCTGGCAGAAGTTAGACTGCTTTTGGACATCCAGGTACTTTCTGTGCTGTCAAGGGCTGAGGACTCAGGAACGTTTCTGAGTTTTGTTTCTGCTTTTTTTGTTGTCACTAGTGATTTTTCCCTCCCTGTTAAATCAAGGTTCAGATTTCTCAAGCACTCATTAAAACCTAAACTGATGAGTTGGCACATCTGTCACGTAGCAGGGTCTGCGATTAAGAACATACGATGTCCTGTTTCGCAGGGCTCTCTGACGGATTACCTGAAGGGCAATATTATCAGCTGGAATGAGCTCTGCCACGTTGCAGAAACAATGGCCCGGGGCTTGTCCTACCTTCATGAAGATGTCCCTTGGTGCAAAGGTGAAGGACACAAACCTGCTATAGCACACAGGTATGGCCTCTTTCATTGATGCCATTCAAGTGCTGTGTTCAAATGTTCACAACCTGTTTCCAATGATGCTGTTGAACGGAGGAGGAGATTGTGCTTTTTGGAAGTAAATGCCTTTTAACCCAACAAATCCTATGCTGAGGCAAGAATTTTTTTCACCCACACATGAAACGGTGAAGGGCAAGTAAGCGTTTTGTCTGTGAAACAGTCACTGTGTTTGGTTGGTATTGGTTTATGGCAAATGTCTGAAGGGTAGGTGCTTCCCTCTTCCATCAACTCTTCTCCTGACATGTAGTAGGAAGGGAAACCTGGTTGCTGCAGAACCACTCATTGAAAGGGCTGTGCTTGATAAATCACGTTATAGTCCATGAATTTCTATGGCCAAACTAAGATTTGGACCCTGTTTTTCCGTAAGCTTTTTAAGACGGATAACTCCACTGTGTGTTCTTCCGCAGAGCTTTTGATCATTAGGTAGGAAGTGGAAAAACCGTGGAAATGCAGAAAATGGCTGCTGTTTATTTTTCACAGTGGCTTTGTAGTGCCCATAGCATGCCAGGATGCTTATGAGAGAGACCACAGGAGACAACCAGGGTGCCTCTGAGACCTCATGGCACACGCTTCAACCCACCTGGGTGGCAGCACTGCGGGGACAGTGAGAATCCAGAAAGAAGTGGGTTAAACCATCCTCGTTGCAACCATACTTGTTTTAGCCCTTCTCCGCAGCCCCACATTGCTTGCCCTGGACTACAGCATCGCACCGAGCAGTTTGCAAATGGTGTGGCAGGAGGGGGGATTTTTCCAGAAGGGATTTATGTGGGCTACACACCATAATCCATGGCCGTACTCCCCCGCCACCCACTGCGTTTCATCTGGGAGGGGCTTAAACCCCACGTCCAGCTGCAGCAATCTGTAGCCCATCCAGCGGGGCCGTCTTCGTGTACGGCAAGATAATCCCTGGTTTTGCAGGGGTGTCCCTGCCCCCTAAACAACCCCCCTCCCGGAACCTGAAGGTTTCTGAGAGCTGGGAGCTGTTGAAAGAGCCTGCAGCTGCCTTTGTGCTGCTCCTGGAGCTGACCCCTGTGTCCCTGACATTTGTCCCCATGGAATAAAGGCAGTGGTTTATACATGAAAATTCCTGAGGGTGGGGAACAGAGAAAGGCTATAGAAAGGTTTTAAAGCAACAGATCGTGCTCATTAGTGTCCCCATCCATTTAGCAAATGATAAAAGATGGAGAATGCACCATTTCTGTGAATTTAGGACATACCTACGGAAGAGGGATTTCAGGACACGGGATTTTCCTTGGATTACCCCACTCCTTTTAGCTTCATTCTCGTTTTAAAAGAAAACGCCAAATACATTTGAAATCTGGGGGCTGGGGGGAGGTGTTTTTGAATGGCTTCACACAAGGCGTGCGGAGATGCTGGAGTTGCCAGGTGGGAGTCCCCGAGTCACTGTTGGGCAGGGGTTCAGCCAACTCCTTTCTGGCCCCCAGCACGACGAGGAGGATTAAGGTTATGGGATTGCTTGTTGGTGCGAAAGTGCCCCCACGTGGAAGCTGAAAATAAAATCTCCGGTGACTGAATCGAGTGAACGTGCCCGCCGTTCATAGTTTGCTCCCTCCCTTATTCCCCACTTTCAAGCATTACACGGAAAATGGTACTTTTTTCTTTTCAGGCCACTTTTAGGATGGTCTGATGCATATGATATTAGTGGGAATTCTACTTGGCATGTCTTGGATTGGGTCTTTCTCCCTGTCCTGGATATGTTTGCATTGCAGCTCATACATGCTGGTTCAGAGCAGTTTGTGGAAGGAAGGAAAATATGGAAAAATGGGGAAAAATATGGAAATAGGGGAAACAAACTACTACATCTTTATGCTTCCTTTTATCTGTTGCATGCCCAAAGGGCGGTACGGGTGAACAGCAGCAGCAAGTGCCCATACAATAATACTGGCTCACATCTCGCATCACTTCGGAGACGTATCATTCAGGCAAACTGATAATTTCTGTGTGGTCCTTGTTGAGCCACTGTTTTACAAAAATCTTGTGCACAATCTGTACCAACCTGGAGAGCATAATCCCCTAACACTGACCGAGCAGAGTTCTTCATCAGTGTCCTAAGCCTGTGGGGAAACTGCTATAGCGCGGAAGCAGTCAGTCCATGCTGTAGGTAAATGGTGTTTTTCTGTGGGGTACAAAAGTTTTGCAAAATTGTACTGTGTCCCTAAAAAGCCTGTGTGTTCCCTTAAGGTGCTGGAGGCTGGTTTCTGCTGGGGTTCCCTGGCTGTCTGATGCTCTCCAACTTCACACCCACTTCCCCAGTCTTAATCCTCAAGCCAAAAATGCCCATCACACTGTTTAGCTTAGAAGGGAAAAATCCTTTCCTCTGATTTTTTTTAAGCTCACAATCAGGGGCTGGGTGGTACAGGCTGATTTTTGCTTGCGGTGCTGTGAGCTGGTGCTCTGGCATCTGAGGCCACAGCGAGCAGCCCTTCTCTATGGTCCAGCAGTTTCTCTCTTCCCAAAGAATTTTGACAGGTCTCTCTAGTGCGGAACAATTGTATCTGCCCTCATTAATTATTTTGTGCAGGCCTGCAATGTCCTGCAATCAGCAGGGTCACCGAGTGAATTGATGATAGGGAAATTATAATGCTGAGCATACAGGACAATTGCCATCTGCTGTCTAAGGTCTGTAATTTAATTACATTGCCAAACATTCCTTTTCAGATGAAAATGCGGGAAGCCCGGGGAACAGGGCTTGACTGGTTAGGCATCTCGACCCTCCTCCACCCTGCCTCTCCGGCCCCTGCAGATTTACCTGAGCTGCCCTGAAACAGCCCTGCTGCAGCACAGGACTGACACAAATGTCCCCTTAAAGCCACCTTCAAGCACAGACCCACCATCTCTCCTGCAGATACTTATACCTGCCCGTCAGCTGCCTGGTCCCATCCTGACGGCTCAGCTGAGTGTGGGCTCACCCCCTCCCCTGCTTGCTTTCCCACCCTCCAAATTCTCCAGGGATGATCAGTACAGCAATTAAAACATAAGTGTAATAGATGACTGTGGCAGAAGTCGGTTGAAGTGTGTAGTCAGGATGAACAGAGTCCCACCAGCATCTGCTAATTTCCAGAAAGATCTGATTTTGTAGAGAGGGGCAAATATTCTTACTAGGATAACGAGTAAATTCACCCCCTGTCTTGCATTACATATTGGGAGTGAGAAATGTGAGAAGTGCCCAGAGGTGGAGGCTCACAGCTGGTGCTCGGAGCAAGAAATGGTGCTTTATAATGCTTGCTCTAATTAAAACACTCCCTTTGTATCACTGCTTGCTTTTATTTTAAGGTTAATTCACTGTAGACTTCGTCTGATTCTGCGCTGGGCAGCACAGGGCTGCTTGGTTGTGTTTTAGGGACACAGGCAGTGAGGGGCAGCTGAATTTGCCAGCGCTGGCCGTGCCGGGGAAGGAAGGAAGGAGCTGATTTACTGGGGGTTGCTGAGCCTGTAGACGTACAAAGTGTTGCAATGTGATTTAGACGCGTGCCATAATAAACCCTTCCTAAACTTGATTCTTGCTTGTCCGTAGGGACTTCAAGAGTAAAAACGTCTTGCTGAAGAACGACTTGACGGCGGTGCTAGCTGATTTTGGACTAGCTGTACGGTTTGAACCTGGAAAACCCCCAGGGGACACTCATGGACAGGTAATCATTATCGTTAACAATAACATTTTAAAAAGTTGGGCTTGCCGTAGCTCCTCAGGAGTGGGGGGTAGTTTGTATAGCTGCATTTAATTCTCTTGGAGATACGTATTTTCCATAAAAGCTTGTGCTCAGACATAAATTCCAGGAGCTGCTTTGATCTGGGTGAGCAGGGAAGAGTGCTCAGACCCTCCTGACCTCTGTGCAGGTAGAGTCCCCCCAGCCCTGGGGGCAGGCGACTTCTTCTTTCAAACACAGGACTTGCTGACTCTTTATTGTCTTGGTATTAAATATTAATACTCCTAGAATTATGCATTTATTTTGAAGAATTCAGCCAGGCTGGCTGCTTGGGTGACCTTTAGCAACGGCAGGTCTTGCGAGCTGGCTGCGCGCAGCGTAAACAATTTACTACATTTTTATGGGTTCTTAATTTTCTGCCTCTGCGTTGTGGTGAGCAGCCCTTTGTTCTGCTCTCGTGATGGGGCCTGGCAGGGCCAGCATGCCCTCCATGTGTCTCCGGGATTTTTTGAATGCCCGTCTCCAATGCAGGCTCCTTCTGTACCTTTATTTCAGAAAGGGTGAACAATTTTCTGGGTTAGCGCCCCGCAGCTTTCCTCTTTTTTCCAGTATTTTCCACACCTTTTCACACCCTGTCCCCACTGACTCATGTAGCAGTAAGAACAGATGAGAATTTCCTAAAGGAAAATATTAAAGGCATTTGAATTCCCGTGTTAAGAAAGTGGTTTTTTTCCTTGTTCTGCTTTGCACTCTCCTACATGGTGGGCTGTAATTCTGCCACGTATATAACCACAGCCATGCGAGGACCTCAGTGTGGCTCTGCCTGGACTAAACACACCAAGACAGCCAGAGCAGGGTAGACTTTGCAGGATTCATGCTTTACTACTCCTGTGGATGCAGGAGACTTGTTTTACCCAGGGCTGTCAAACACCTTTTCCTACCATTCCAGGATATATCAGTTTTACTTGTCTTTATTCTTTTTTTCATATATATATATATATA